GTTAGAAAGCAAATTTGATTGTCGGAGATTTTTCCGGCCCGGCAACAAACTCTATCGCCACCCTCTTTATTAATGCTATGGTAACATTATAGGCTATAGGGTATGTATTGGGGTTATATAGGGATAATGGAAAAGAAAATGGAAACCATTATAGTAAAATAGGGTAACTACTTTTGTGCTAACCTTGAGCCCGTATAGTAGGCTGGAGATGCCCCGGAATGAAAACGTCCTGCAGTCTGCTCCGCCTGCTCCGCCTGCTCCGAGGCCCAGATGCGCTCGGTGCTGCGTATGACCTGTCTGATCAGTTCTTTCGGTCCTGACCAGAAGACAAAGCTGAAGGAATGCAACTCAATCGCAACCAGAGAAGCCTTTGAGCAAGGGCATGAACATGTAGCTCAATTTATGCGATACCTTTGCGCAGCTTTCTATGTCTGATTACGGGGCTGACGCCTTCCCCGACAAAGGCATGGAGAAAAGCTACGTCAAGGATCCTGCTGTCCTGGCGATGCAGATCGATGCAGGCTTGGTCGAAGTCTACTGGTTCAGACATTATGATCAGTGTCTTGGCCGGTGCCTTGAGCTCAGCATGAGGTGAAGTTGTAACCTACCACGACAAGCTGGACATGTTCACCTGCAACGCCAGTTGCTTGTCGAGATTTGGGCGCTGGCTTGCTCCAGCCCGCAGCGTTTGCTGCCCCAAACCAGGGCCTTGCTTGGAAAGTCAAAGCACTAAAGAGAACATACAAAAAGAGATGGTTTCTGAGTGTTATATCCCAAGCTTTTTGTCGTTTTGGTGACCTGGTGAATTTGCATTCATGCGCTTCTTCGAAAGGCGACAAGACTACACAGACCTTGCTTTCAGGTTCTGACGGATTTTCGGGGATATTTGCATGACAATAGCATTGAATTATACTCTGTATTCAGAAGTTACTTCTCATTGCTTCTCTTTCATTCTGGACCTCTCACGTGACTGAGCTTGCTTCAGCGATCTTGTGATGCTCATCCCGGCAGTGGCCCGAGGCGAAGTGCCAGGAACTGATGAGTTCGATGCGATCCATTACAAGGATTTGCCCAAAGGCGAGAGCCACTGGGGGTTTGCAAAAGGCTGCCCCCAGGTCCCTCCCCAAGGGTTCAATACGAATTTCCATTCTTGTAGCCCGTCGTTCATATAGCCAACTCACACAAAGACACGAATCCTGTATCCCAAATCCAAGCTCATGTAAGGGGATTTTGATACGATTTTCGATACGATTCCTGCTTTGCCAGGGCTTCCCATTGGCTGCGCCCACGCCCTCCCAAGCCTCTTCGGCCTCCAAATCGTATCGAAAATCGTATCGAAAATTGCATCGAAAAGCGTTTCCCAAATTGAAGCCTCTCCAAGGGGATTTTGATATGATTTTGGACACGATCCCAGGGCCTCCAATTGCCTGCACAAAAACCTATCGTAGAACATGGAATCAAAATCGTATCAAACAAAAAACTAAGCCTTTGATGGGATTGCGGGTACGATTCTTGGTACGATTTCGTTACGATCTTGGATGCCATTCCTGGATCTCCAAACTTTGTTTTGAAAACAGCAGATCCTGGTCCAACCCAAGTACAATTGTGATGCAGTTTCAAGACAACTTCAATACAGTTCCAGCAATATATACTTTTGCCTATATGGGTATAATATACCCGGTGGCTCGAGGCCACTTGTAAGTAGAATTCTGACTACCCCAAGAGAGTTCTCACCTAATTAACTACAGTACAGATGACCCCTGTTGCCACAACTACGACTACTGACTCTGAAGCTGGCCACGCAGAAATTGATCTTGGCCACGGTTGCCACGTTGGTTATTCTTCGGTCTGTGTTGTAGAACGACAATGACAAACTCCATGGTTCTGCCCCATCTGGTTCCTTTTTGGGTCGTCAGTCATAAGCAATTTTAAAGCCTGGGATGCGGGGAGCTTTACAAGCCTTCTCAGGGAAAGGGGTTGCCCCGAGCAGGGGCAAGGGTTAGCTGCAGCTAACGGATGAAGGAGAGCTTCGGTGAGGGGGGGGGGTTAAGGCAAGTTCAGGTTGAACATTGAATCCCGCAGGGCAGATGGCGTGTGGTCAGGCGATCAAAATTTCATATTGAACGTGTTTTAGGATTATTGGAAGCGTACAGCCATATTGTGTGTGTGTGTTTTTTTTAATGTGTTGGCTGAAGTGTATAGAAGTCATATCACCTCACCATATTGAAGCCAGATCAAAACTATAAAAAGATGAGTAATCCGTGATTTTGGAATTGAAAGTTTGTAGTATGTCACGACCCAATATAACCCTACACAATCCCCATATATTCCATAGTCTAAACTCCTAGTATCCCCCTTAATAAGCCTTATAGTAGTCCCCTATATAAATCCCCATATAACCCCCTTTAAGGAGTTTAGACTATAGCTCATATATTCCTATTATATGGCCCTAAACCTGGGAGGCATCGCTGCTTGCCCGGCTGTCACCTGCGAGGATGCCTGTGGCCTGGCTGACACTTCCAAGAAGTTCCAGGAGCTGTTTTGAGGGTTTCCCGAATTTAGGGGTCCCCATCTTATAATAAGGATTAGGGGATTTTTGAGTCGATATTGGAGTCCCCCAATGTATGGAAACAAGCATTTCTAGTTGCAAGGGACTGCTCCCCTGGACTTGCAGGAGGTCGAAGTGTGTGTCGCCCTGGAAGCTTGGCAGTCCACTCCTATCGGCCACTTGGTGATCAGGGGCCAAGGTAGGTAAGGGTGTAGGACGCATGAGTTTGAACCGTGGAATCATGGTACAGAGCAAAGCCGGGACTCTGCCTCAAATCATGCCTCGCCAAGCCTTGCCAAGCCCAGACACCGCCATGGGTTGGAGCAAGATGGGCACTGCCTATGCGTTGGGCGCCGATGTGACCTGCGACAGCCGATTTCTCAGCAATTCAGAAGTCTTCGGGCGTTTGTTGGCAAAGATGCTCTGTGACTGTCTGCAAGCGTTGTTGTCGCAGGCAAGTTCTTCTGGAACGCCATAACCCTGGGCTGTCGTGGCACTTGCTGTTGTGCAGATGTGGGCAGATTTGCTCGCTTTTCACTGAGGTCGGCTCGGGGAGCTGCCAGTACGCCAAGTGCCCGGACAATGCTCTGCGCAACATAGAGGAGCTCAGCGTTGTGCTCTTGGCTGAAGCCGCACAAAGCGCCCCGCATGCCTCGCTTGCCAGGACACTGCTCCCAACGTCTCGTCTCCTACCAAGGGACCTGGGCTCTGCCCATGCAAGGCAGTGCTGAGTTGTTGAAGTGGCTGTTGTCCGGGCGAGCCCGTCTTTATATGGTCTGAAATGACAATGTTGCTGACCTGCCCACCCCCTACCCTTCGCCATCCCCTGCAGACGAAGATGCAGCGCCGCATCCAGGCATGCTGATGTCCTGTAGATCTTGCGGGATTTGGTTCACTGCTTCCGGCTAGATGAAGGGGTAGTCGGAACTGGCATGGAAAAAACAGGAAACCATTGAATACAGTCAGAGTTCTTTTCAGTTCGGAGCACTTCTTGAAGATACTGAGACCGCGCTTGCCATCTATCTTCCATTGCGTGCAGGAAGCTGCAACCAGAAGCGCAAGCACAAAGACTAGCACGTGCTTCGCTCCGCGCTGACCTTGGAGTAATCAATCCGTGTCTTGCCTACTGTGACGAGACCCATCTACCTCTTTCGCGCATCAGCTCTCATTGCAGCGTGGCTATCCCGAATCCTGAAAGATTCTGCTGGGACCACTCAACCCTTCCACAGAATGCCCTCATGGCTCGCTGTAGCAGGTTTTCAAGTCTCCCTCAGATTCACAGAGCTACGGTCCGGTGCTGTAGACTGCAGTGTCCAACAGAAAAGCCACGAGGCTGAACGCGGGCGATGCTGTGTACTGGGCCAGGGCCCAAATGGAGTAGGAGGAGGATGGAAAGGAAGAGTATGGAAGAGTATCAGCTTTGCGCACTCTGATCTGTTTGCTGTGCTGGTCATCTCCAGTCTCCATCACACTGAGGACCTTGGAGCCTCTCAGCCCCTTGGAAAGGTCAATGCAACTGCCTGGACCTCAAAAAAAAGAACAGAGGTCAGCGGAGATTGAGCAGTGTGGCCGTCGAGAACTTTTTGAACTGCCGCATCTTTCTCAGGTGAGCCACGGCACCTCGGAGATTGAGGCGGCTAAAGATGCCTTTCAGGGAGCATGGTTTTTCAAAATCGTCAGCCATCAATGTCAAGTACCAAACCAAGCTGCGCAGGTGTTTATCTCGGACAATGGCCCTGGAAACGCCCTCTCCAGCTCAGCCGCTTGCCATTTGGGAAGACCTGACAAGAGTAGCTGCAAAAGTTTTCGCGCACGGGCCCATGCCAACGGCTGCGCATTTGAAATCGCTGTGGACAAGGAAGTCTTGAAAGCTAAGGAGTCCTGCGGAAAAATCACAGCGGATCGTGTGGCTGACCCTTGGCTTCGGGATCCATGCTTGATCGCACTCAGAAATTCGCACAACCCACATAGCTGTTGAAAACGAAGGTGTCCAGCCTGCCCTGCCGTCCGCCCCACCATTTGCTAATTGCTACTTCTGGACTGATCTCGATATCTGCTGAGGACTGTGTCTCACACTCTGGTGGTCGCTTCCTTGCTCCTCGGATTGCAGTCTTGCAGGTGTGCTGTGCAGGTGAGACAGTTTTTACGTTACTGGTGGTAGCTAATCTGCAGCACCTGCCGGGCATCGGTGGGAGGCCTCACGGCACAGCCTGTCAGCACAAAACTGCAACACAAGTTAATTACCTTTGGGCATTGTCACCCTCCTGGTACATATGCTGCCTGTGACTTTGCCAAGGCCTTGAAGGGTGCGACATCAGGCTCTTGTCTGCTCGGCGATTGCAAGCCCTCTTGGTGCTGGAGACTCAGCCCGCTGTACGCTTGACTACCGCATCTTATTTTGCTTTGTTGGGAGAATCATGAAGCACCTTGTGCGACCGGGAGTGCGCAAGCTTTTCTTGACCCAGTGGTGCTACTTGAATCATGTTGCTTTTCGCTGACGAGTTCTGCTGGCTGCAGAACACGTGATGGCTGAATTTGCATCAGCATACCGGCAAAACCAATTTTCGTGACCCCTCGTTGTTTACAACATCTGTCACTGGAGTGGCCTGATCGACAAGCATCAGGCGAGATGACTGTGGAAGGCTCCTCAATGACCCAGGCGCGCTGTGGGCGTCCAATGCTAGGTTCAGCTGGTGTTTGATATGGAATAGAGGTGCATGCATGAGAGGTTAACCCAGCAACGGTGAGGATGCCAAAATATCGTATCGGCTTTCGGATAAGTTCACGTGGTTGCCCCCAGGAATTCCAAGAATGGACCAGACGGACAGTACTTACCAAATCAAGCCGCATTCAGTCACTTTTCTTGGCTAACGGCTAATTTTGATTTAGCTTTCTGTGTATTTGACTGCAAGGAGCCGATGAAAACGACAGGCAACAAGTACATGGGTCAGGTCGGACTCTAAGATGTGAAGCCACTTGGATGCTGCTCCGCAAGAGGGCGCAATAAACTTGGCCAAAGAGCATTGCACTTATTGAACTCCGATGCTAAATCTAACGATGTGGATTCAGATGATGTTGAGTCTCATCCTGTGTCTCACGTTTCCTCGCAGCTTACGGCATGTCTCGGTTTTGAACATGGGGGATTTGGACCCCAAAGTTTGAATGCTAAGGTCGTGACCACCGCCTGAGATGCTTCTTGTAGAGTCTCGTAGTGCTTAGTCTGGGTTGCTGTTAAG